TTTTTTTTTTTTTTTTTTTTCTTTTGGCACAAACCAGCCACTAGAAAGGCAAAGACCGTGCCTTTGAGGCTATGGACATCAGCTTTCAGTTGGAATTAAGATTTTAAAACTGGAATATACTTCGTAACTGGAAGCAGGGCAAGTAAACTAATAGGAAGGTGGAGCAGAATGACTGTACCTAAGCAAAGGGCAGCAGCGCTAACAAGTAATGAGATCTGGAGTCAGTGCACAGCCATAACTGTGGCTGGAGGGGAGGCAGCAAGGCTGGAACTGGCCATCAGCTACAAGAAAGGCTGTTGTCCCATCAGCTGTAGACAGGACCTTCAGGTCTTGGGTATTAAAAAGCGGTGAGGGCAGCACCGAGTGAGGCTTTGAAGTGCAATCTACAAAAAAACTTAACTGACAGAAATTGGGCCTCCCTAACAAAAGTGTTGAAGATTGATTTTTTTTTTTTTTATAATGGCAGTATTTTTATTTTTAATGGCAGTTATTCAGGGCCAAACCATAGCTTCAAACCATAGTGTCATCAAATGTAGTATTCCAGACAATGTCCTTTTTATTATTATTTTTGTCATTCAACTCACCTACCTCGGCCAGCACTAACGCCTTTGGGCTATATCTTACATTAGGTTAAAAATAGCTTGCGAAAAAAAATGATTTGGTTTAAGGTTGTATTCCTGGGGTTCTTATTAAGGCACACAGATATGAGACTTTGCATGCGTTGTGACTCTGTGAGTGACAAAGTATGACTGCATACTTAAATCTCATAAAATACAAGCATCCCCTGGCTTTTATCAGATGTCACAACTATCAATATTTATTTGGCCCTCCCTGTGCCTGGTCTTAGTGRAGAGGCACAGGGGACATTTTAAAGCATAATGGCAGCCTCGAGTGGAATTACCATGACACTGTTTAGATAACATTTCATAACAAAACGTCTAGTTTACCCAGAGAGAAACATCACACACCTGCCATCCCAAGTCTTGGAAGCTAACATAAAGTTCATGTTTTCTGCAAGCCGTTTTTAAGTCACTGCTGTTGTAATCTGTTAAAAGAAAAAAAAAAAAAAAGCAGGAATTTAATCAAAGAGGCAGTACGTCACTGCGGGGCACAGCCGGGCAGATCTGCCTACACGGAGGGTTCAGCGGTGAGCAGCAGTGAGCGACCAGAGCAGCTATGAGAAGAACCGCGTTGAGGGACGTACAAAGTTGGGCTGACGTTTTTAAGACTCCAGCAGGAAAGGAGGCAGCCAAGCAACATCAATGGTGTTGTAATTCCTTCAGTGTCCCTTAACAACCTGACGACGGACGCTCATAAAACACCCCTAGGAAAACCATTTTATRAAAACGAATCCGGGTTCCTTCAGCCTGGCACATGCAGTGTCCCCACTGCGTGCTCCAATTTGCCCCTGCTTTGTCCCTTGACAGTTTTCAAGTGGAGTGTGATCAAAACACACACAGTAACCCCATGCATTATAACGCGAGGTATGTTTCAGCATCGTCTTGTGTCCCCTGTGTTGGTTAGCCAAGGGGTTAGCCTGTCCCTCAACAGGAATGTCCCACAGACAGCCAAATGGCTGCTCCCGTCCCTCTCGGCCCAGTGCCAGGCACCAYGCACAGTCCCTCTGCCATGCCTTGAGAGACAAGCAGCTCCTTCCCATACCCAACTCTCTCCACAACCTTGTTATTGGCAGTGTTTCCCCCCCTCACAAACGACAAAGAAGGGGATAAGCACTCAGCATTAGCTTGCCCACAGTACACAGAACAGCATGGGCCCAGAGCTCCAATGCGAGGCCACCTCTCCCCTGGGTCATGGCCCAACTCCTGCTGATGTTTCACCAGTGCAGAGGCTGCCTGGATAGCCCTACAAAATGCAGCTTTTGATGGTGAGTGGAATTTCCCATTTATAATTAGAAAGCGACAGGGCTCAGCGTGCGAGCACSTGGAACCGCAGCCCCGTGGAGAAGGGAGAATTCAGGTCATGACAGAGGGGCCTTTCACTTCCAGGGGGCTGCACAAACTCAGCCTTGATAGGCAGGGGCTGCACCTCATCTTGCTTCCGATGGTCGCTGGGCATCAGCGGAGTGGCGTCCCCACTGCAGTAACCAGCTGCCTTCGCATGACCCCTGTCATGCTCACACAGGCCAGTCTTCATCGGGCAGCACGTTTCCCTCT